AATTGTTTTGTTGGTAGCACTGCTCAGTTTGACATGCTCGACAACAAGACAAAATCACCAAAATTATGCAAAGGCATAATATTTTCAAAAATAAATCTTGTAACGTGCAGGAGACTTAATGTGTGAAGTGATTTTGAAGCAGATGCTGCATGCTCTCCTCCAGGAGGAGGCGCTGCAGGACAAACACACAGAAGTGGTTTGTGAAGGTTTCCATGTGAAGTACCAAATAAATGTAGAGAGATGAAGCTGCTGTAACATGTAAACACATTGTTGTTGAGTGTGTGTTATCCCAGGTGTGTGTTCAGAGTGTATAAAGACTGGGTCCCGCTGTATTGCTCAGGCTTCACTACAGCGTCTATTCACAGGCGCGATCCCACTACTGAGCGGCACGGGGGTTTTGACCTGCTCCGTGTCCGACCTGGGCCGGTGCCCCCCTCCTTAGACGACCTGGTGGTCCCGGGCTCCCCAAAGTAGCACCATATCGATACCGAACTTAGTGCGGACACCCGTTCGGCATAGTCCCTGCAGCTCAGAGCTCCTGAGCTCAAACGCTCCTCCAGCCTCAGCCTCCCGGTAACTGGGATTACAGGCGCGCGCCCCGCACCCGGCGAAAGGACTCTGCACCGGAGAGGGTTTGGGGTTTAGAGACGCGACGTCATGTCTTGTTTTGCATTCATACACGATGATATTCTTCCTCTCTTCATCAGTTTCCAACTGGTTTATCAAATTCAGCTGATGATTTATTTTGCTTAAGTTATTGGGAAGTTTAATTTAAGAACATTCACAATGAGACAGCATTAAACTATGAGTCTTTTCCAGTCATTTCCAGACTGGCATACATTTATTGCTAAAACTGAAAGTTTAACTTTTAATGCTGTTCATTTACGATTCTTCGTATGAACATCTTGACATTTGTATATTAATATACTAGAATAAGAGTGTGTGTTTTTTACATTAGTGCTTATGAGTTTAAACATATCAGTCACAGTGGCTTTTCATCATCATTTCTCAGTAATACTAATAACATTTAATGGATGCTGGCTAACTGTAAAATACATTAAATAAAACATAAGAAATATTAAAGTAGGCTACCTATTTTTTTTTTTGTGGATTCAAATGACAGGTCTGATGACTGTAGATTGATGGACTTCATTGAAGTTTAAGAAGAGCAGGAGTTGGTGGTGAAGGTGGAGGATGAGGAGGAGGAATAAAGGTCTCTGATGCTCGGCTCTGGATCAACTGCTTTTTTTTATCCTCCATCAGTATTTCACAGTTTGTCTTATTTGACTTTCCAGTGATGCCTAAAGGAGCCGTGGACAACAGAGCCATCAGCACACCAAAAGGTAAGAGCTCAGCCCACAGCGGACAATATTTCTTCTTCTACACTTCTTTATCCATTCACCACCCTAAAGCCAACTGTCCTTTTTTTTTCCAGGCGTCAACATTGATTTTACTTTTGACGAAGATGTCAGCGCAATCTTCCGTGACCGTATAACAAGTAAGCCCCTGTGTAATCTCCCTGTTTTGTTTTCAGTTGAGTTCTAGGAAATCAACCGTATGTCCTACAGAACTATAGAGGTGCACATATTTAATAGAATCTCTTTCTCCTGTTTCCTTACAGGTGTTGTCGCAGAGTCCAGTGTTCTGGATGTGCGGTCCAATGAGCAGAAGTGAGTGTACTTCTGTCCATGCTTAGGTAGGTGTTTTAGAGACATTTCTGTAGAGAATGTGTGATTTAAAACCCTTTCTTTTGTGTTTCAGAGCTCCTGGACTCAGACAGTGGAACGTGCAGTCTCCTCTGCGCCAGAAGAAAAAAGGATCCATAGTTTAGTGGAGATTCATCTCCAACTCTGTTTTATATCTTCACAAGTGCTACTTTTTTTTTCTTACATCTTCATCACCATCTATGTGCTGTTGTTTGATATTCTCTCATATTTACTGTTTGTCTGTGTAACTGTTTGTCTTTTATCTGTTGGTAATAAAAGTGACCTTCAATTCAGAATATCTTTTGCCGAATTATTATTCCACAAGTGATATTCAGTCTTAATATCACAAACACTATTGCATTAGAGCTTTGGTGGGCAATATTGGAGAAGTCCGCCGGAGTAATATAGATAATCCAAATAATCCAACCCCCAGCCCAATGCTGCAGCACATGCTCCAAAGGTCACTAAATCCAGTGAGAACGTCACAAACTCATCGACACTGACAGCCAGTCTCTTGAGGCCACCCTCCAAAGACACTCCCCCAAAATTATCATTATGAATTTAACAAAAAACATGGATTTTAGAGTTTTTCAATATATATTTTTTGACTGAGAGATCTAATTTATAATAATAGCTTCCATATCAGCTGAGCAAGTAAACACAGCATTGTATCATAAGTGGTCGAGTAGTAGGGCACACATTTCATTTGATATGAATTGTTTTGTTGGTAGCACTGCTCAGTTTGACATGCTCGACAACAAGACAAAATCACCAAAATTATGCAAAGGCATAATATTTTCAAAAATAAATCTTGTAACGTGCAGGAGACTTAATGTGTGAAGTGATTTTGAAGCAGATGCTGCATGCTCTCCTCCAGGAGGAGGCGCTGCAGGACAAACACACAGAAGTGGTTTGTGAAGGTTTCCATGTGAAGTACCAAATAAATGTAGAGAGATGAAGCTGCTGTAACATGTAAACACATTGTTGTTGAGTGTGTGTTATCCCAGTGTGTGTTCAGAGTGTATAAAGACTGGGTCCCGCTGTATTGCTCAGGCTTCACTACAGCGTCTATTCACAGGCGCGATCCCACTACTGAGCGGCACGGGGGTTTTGACCTGCTCCGTGTCCGACCTGGGCCGGTGCCCCCTCCTTAGACGACCTGGTGGTCCCGGGCTCCCCAAGTAGCACCATATCGATACCGAACTTAGTGCGGACACCCGTTCGGCATAGTCCCTGCAGCTCAGAGCTCCTGAGCTCAAACGCTCCTCCAGCCTCAGCCTCCCGGTAACTGGGATTACAGGCGCGCGCCACCGCACCCGGCGAAAGGACTCTGCACCGGAGAGGGTTTGGGGTTTAGAGACGCGACGTCATGTCTTGTTTTGCATTCATACACGATGATATTCTTCCTCTCTTCATCAGTTTCCAACTGGTTTATCAAATTCAGCTGATGATTTATTTTGCTTAAGTTATTGGGAAGTTTAATTTAAGAACATTCACAATGAGACAGCATTAAACTATGAGTCTTTTCCAGTCATTTCCAGACTGGCATACATTTATTGCTAAAACTGAAAGTTTAACTTTTAATGCTGTTCATTTACGATTCTTCGTATGAACATCTTGACATTTGTATATTAATATACTAGAATAAGAGTGTGTGTTTTTTACATTAGTGCTTATGAGTTTAAACATATCAGTCACAGTGGCTTTTCATCATCATTTCTCAGTAATACTAATAACATTTAATGGATGCTGGCTAACTGTAAAATACATTAAATAAAACATAAGAAATATTAAAGTAGGCTACCTATTTTTTTTTTTGTGGATTCAAATGACAGGTCTGATGACTGTAGATTGATGGACTTCATTGAAGTTTAAGAAGAGCAGGAGTTGGTGGTGAAGGTGGAGGATGAGGAGGAGGAATAAAGGTCTCTGATGCTCGGCTCTGGATCAACTGCTTTTTTTTATCCTCCATCAGTATTTCACAGTTTGTCTTATTTGACTTTCCAGTGATGCCTAAAGGAGCCGTGGACAACAGAGCCATCAGCACACCAAAGGTAAGAGCTCAGCCCACAGCGGACAATATTTCTTCTTCTACACTTCTTTATCCATTCACCACCCTAAAGCCAACTGTCCTTTTTTTTCCAGGCGTCAACATTGATTTTACTTTTGACGAAGATGTCAGCGCAATCTTCAGTGACCGTATAACAAGTAAGCCCCTGTGTAATCTCCCTGTTTTGTTTTCAGTTGAGTTCTAGGAAATCAACCGTATGTCCTACAGAACTATAGAGGTGCACATATTTAATAGAATCTCTTTCTCCTGTTTCCTTACAGGTGTTGTCGCAGAGTCCAGTGTTCTGGATGTGCGGTCCAATGAGCAGAAGTGAGTGTACTTCTGTCCATGCTTAGGTAGGTGTTTTAGAGACATTTCTGTAGAGAATGTGTGATTTAAAACCCTTTCTTTTGTGTTTCAGAGCTCCTGGACTCAGACAGTGGAACGTGCAGTCTCCTCTGCGCCAGAAGAAAAAAGGATCCATAGTTTAGTGGAGATTCATCTCCAACTCTGTTTTATATCTTCACAAGTGCTACTTTTTCTTTTTCTTACATCTTCATCACCATCTATGTGCTGTTGTTTGATATTCTCTCATATTTACTGTTTGTCTGTGTAACTGTTTGTCTTTTATCTGTTTGGTAATAAAAGTGACCTTCAATTCAGAATATCTTTTGCCGAATTATTATTCCACAAGTGATATTCAGTCTTAATATCACAAACACTATTGCATTAGAGCTTTGGTGGGCAATATTGGAGAAGTCCGCCGGAGTAATATAGATAATCCAAATAATCCAACCCCCAGCCCAATGCTGCAGCACATGCTCCAAAGGTCACTAAATCCAGTGAGAAAGTCACAAACTCATCAACACTGACAGCCAGTCTCTTGAGGCCACCCTCCAAAGACACTCCCCCAAAATTATCATTATGAATTTAACAAAAAACATGGATTTTAGAGTTTTTCAATATATATTTTTTGACTGAGAGATCTAATTTATAATAATAGCCTCCATATCAGCTGAGCAAGTAAACACAGCACTGTATCATAAGTGGTCGAGTAGTAGGGCACACATTTCATTTGATATGAATTGTTTTGTTGGTAGCACTGCTCAGTTTGACATGCTCGACAACAAGACAAAATCACCAAAATTATGCAAAGGCATAATATTTTCAAAAATAAATCTTGTAACGTGCAGGAGACTTAATGTGTGAAGTGATTTTGAAGCAGATGCTGCATGCTCTCCTCCAGGAGGAGGCGCTGCAGGACAAACACACAGAAGTGGTTTGTGAAGGTTTCCATGTGAAGTACCAAATAAATGTAGAGAGATGAAGCTGCTGTAACATGTAAACACATTGTTGTTGAGTGTGTGTTATCCCAGGTGTGTGTTCAGAGTGTATAAAGACTGGGTCCCGCTGTATTGCTCAGGCTTCACTACAGCGTCTATTCACAGGCGCGATCCCACTACTGAGCGGCACGGGGGTTTTGACCTGCTCCGTGTCCGACCTGGGCCGGTGCCCCCCTCCTTAGACGACCTGGTGGTCCCGGGCTCCCCAAGTAGCACCATATCGATACCGAACTTAGTGCGGACACCCGTTCGGCATAGTCCCTGCAGCTCAGAGCTCCTGAGCTCAAACGCTCCTCCAGCCTCAGCCTCCCGGTAACTGGGATTACAGGCGCGCGCCACCGCACCCGGCGAAAGGACTCTGCACCGGAGAGGGTTTGGGGTTTAGAGACGCGACGTCATGTCTTGTTTTGCATTCATACACGATGATATTCTTCCTCTCTTCATCAGTTTCCAACTGGTTTATCAAATTCAGCTGATGATTTATTTTGCTTAAGTTATTGGGAAGTTTAATTTAAGAACATTACAATGAGACAGCATTAAACTATGAGTCTTTTCCAGTCATTTCCAGACTGGCATACATTTATTGCTAAAACTGAAAGTTTAACTTTTAATGCTGTTCATTTACGATTCTTCGTATGAACATCTTGACATTTGTATATTAATATACTAGAATAAGAGTGTGTTTTTTACATTAGTGCTTATGAGTTTAAACATATCAGTCACAGTGGCTTTTCATCATCATTTCTCAGTAATACTAATAACATTTAATGGATGCTGGCTAACTGTAAAATACATTAAATAAAACATAAGAAATATTAAAGTAGGCTACCTATTTTTTTTTTGTGGATTCAAATGACAGGTCTGATGACTGTAGATTGATGGACTTCATTGAAGTTTAAGAAGAGCAGGAGTTGGTGGTGAAGGTGGAGGATGAGGAGGAGGAATAAAGGTCTCTGATGCTCGGCTCTGGATCAACTGCTTTTTTTTATCCTCCATCAGTATTTCACAGTTTGTCTTATTTGACTTTCCAGTGATGCCTAAAGGAGCCGTGGACAACAGAGCCATCAGCACACCAAAAGGTAAGAGCTCAGCCCACAGCGGACAATATTTCTTCTTCTACACTTCTTTATCCATTCACCACCCTAAAGCCAACTGTCCTTTTTTTTTCCAGGCGTCAACATTGATTTTACTTTTGACAAAGATGTCAGCGCAATCTTCAGTGACCGTATAACAAGTAAGCCCCTGTGTAATCTCCCTGTTTGTTTTCAGTTGAGTTCTAGGAAATCAACCGTATGTCCTACAGAACTATAGAGGTGCACATATTTAATAGAATCTCTTCTCCTGTTTCCTTACAGGTGTTGTCGCAGAGTCCAGTGTTCTGGATGTGCGGTCCAATGAGCAGAAGTGAGTGTACTTCTGTCCATGCTTAGGTAGGTGTTTTAGAGACATTTCTGTAGAGAATGGTGATTTAAAAACCTTTCTTTTGTGTTTCAGAGCTCCTGGACTCAGACAGTGGAACGTGCAGTCTCCTCTGCGCCAGAAAAAAAGGATCCATAGTTTAGTGGAGATTCATCTCCAACTCTGTTTTATATCTTCACAAGTGCTACTTTTTCTTTTTCTTACATCTTCATCACCATCTATGTGCTGTTGTTTGATATTCTCTCATATTTACTGTTTGTCTGTGTAACTGTTTGTCTTTTATCTGTTTGGTAATAAAGTGACCTTCAATTCAGAATATCTTTTGCCGAATTATTATTCCACAAGTGATATTCAGTCTTAATATCACAAACACTATTGCATTAGAGCTTGGTGGGCCAATATTGGAGAAGTCCGCCGGAGTAATATAGATAATCCAACCTAATCCAACCCCCAGCCCAATGCTGCAGCACATGCTCCAAAGGTCACTAAATCCATTGAGAAGTCACAAACTCATCAACACTGACAGCCAGTCTCTTGAGGCCACCCTCCAAAGACACTCCCCCAAAATTATCATTATGAATTTAACAAAAACATGGATTTTAGAGTTTTTCAATATATATTTTTTTGACTGAGAGATCTAATTTATAATAATAGCTTCCATATCAGCTGAGCAAGTAAAACACAGCATTGTATCATAAGTGGTCGAGTTAGTAGGGCCACACATTTCATTTGATATGAATTGTTTTTGTTGGTAGCACTGCTCAGTTTGACATGCTCGACAACAAGACAAAATCACCAAAATTATGCAAAGGCATAATATTTTCAAAAATAAATCTTGTAACGTGCAGGAGACTTAATGTGTGAAGTGATTTTTGAAGCAGATGCTGCCATGCTCTCCTCCAGGAGGAGGCGCTGCAGGACAAACACACAGAAGTGGTTTGTGAAGGTTTCCATGTGAATTACCAAATAAATGTAGAGAGATGAAGCTGCTGTAACATGTAAACACATTGTTGTTGAGTGTGTGTTATCCCAGGTGTGTGTTCAGAGTGTATAAAGACTGGGTCCCGCTGTATTGCTCAGGCTTCACTACAGCGTCTATTCACAGGCGGCGATCCCACTACTGAGCCGGCACGGGGGTTTTGACCTGCTCCGTGTCCGACCTGGGCCGGTGCCCCCCTCCTTAGACGACCTGGTGGTCCCGGGCTCCCCAAGGAGCACCATATCGATACCGAACTTAGTGCGGACACCCGTTCGGCATAGTCCCTGCAGCTCAGAGCTCCTGAGCTCAAACGCTCCTCCAGCCTCAGCCTCCCGGTAACTGGGATTACAGGCGAGAGCCACCGCACCCGGCGAAAGGACTCTGCACCGGAGAGGGTTTGGGGTTTAGAGACGCGACGTCATGTCTTGTTTTGCATTCATACACGATGATATTCTTCCTCTCTTCATCAGTTTCCAACTGGTTTATCAAATTCAGCTGATGATTTATTTTGCTTAAGTTATTGGGAAGTTTAATTTAAGAACATTTACAATGAGACAGCATTAAACTATGAGTCTTTTCCAGTCATTTCCAGACTGGCATACATTTATTGCTAAAACTGAAAGTTTAACTTTTAATGCTGTTCATTTACGATTCTTCGTATGAACATCTTGACATTTGTATATTAATATACTAGAATAAGAGTGTGTGTTTTTTACATTAGTGCTTATGAGTTTAAACATATCAGTCACAGTGGCTTTTCATCATCATTTCTCAGTAATACTAATAACATTTAATGGATGCTGGCTAACTGTAAAATACATTAAATAAAACATAAGAAATATTAAAGTAGGCTACCTATTTTTTTTTTTTGTGGATTCAAATGACAGGTCTGATGACTGTAGATTGATGGACTTCATTGAAGTTTAAGAAGAGCAGGAGTTGGTGGTGAAGGTGGAGGATGAGGAGGAGGAATAAAGGTCTCTGATGCTCGGCTCTGGATCAACTGCTTTTTTTTATCCTCCATCAGTATTTCACAGTTTGTCTTATTTGACTTTCCAGTGATGCCTATGTAACCGGTGTGGTTAAGCGGTCTCTGCGTTGTGTTGATAATGGACGAGACCCGAGCCAGCGTAAAGTTGAGACGATCTGTTTAATGACTGACAGATAAAAACGATCAGTTTTACATCAGTTTCCCTCAGTGACTCCTCTCACGTGCAACGTTTACAAAAAGGGCACATACCTGACAGATAAAAACGATCAGTTTTACATCAGTTTCCCTCAGTGACTCCTCTCACATGCAACGTTTACCAAAAAGGGCCGAGGAAACGGGAGGGACACAATATATAGGGGGGAAAGTCCTCACAACAATGAACTCCTGAGCACAGCGACCACACTTCAGAGGTTCCGCCCACTGATCTCCGTCCTTGCCAGGTATTTAACATTCAATAAAATGAAGAACACAGAATAAAATTATATAAAACACAGAATTTGTGTGATTATACAATATTAAATTAAATAAACCCCACTGCATATTTACATCTGTTACACTCTCCCCCCTAGAATTACACAAAATTCTGGGAAACCAAAACAATCCACACAAACAACACATCGGCCATGAAATACACAAACAAAGTGTATGGAATCAGCAATATAAACTTCCTACTGAAAGGATAAGAGAATCAGAGTATTACCCGGCGCCTAGCAATAACACATGACACCCTCTAGACAAAGTGAGATGCCTTATACATCACACATACGGCCAAACCATGTGGATACACAAAAGAAAGTGTGACATACAGCAGCAGAGTTAACCAAAAACATTCCTTTGTCACAAGAAAAAAAAACATTATACATATAATAACAATAAAACAAAACGTCAATCCTATGCCACCCCAATTTCTCACACATGGATAACAGCACCGGGGCCTGAATCAACCCCTAAAACAGACTCAAGTTGTGTCATGGACTCAATCAGACGACACACTGGCCTAAAGATTCTGCCAAACCGAGAGGCAAGCCCCCCATTGGCAGTCGGACACTGCTGTGGACCAGGATGGGCAGACAGTGACTGTGACAGGGGAACAGGGATCGGGGCAGGAACATCCAAAGCAGGGGAAATTGCCAGAGAGGGAGACAATGGACACTCTGAACTAACTGAGCCATCAATGGAGGACTGTTCGTGGACCCATGAGGCAGTGCGGCTATCTGCCCAGCCAACAGCACTCGAAAGGGAACCAGCAAGAGACGATCCGGCAGCAGCAGCTGCAGTATCCAACTCAGAGATCGCAGTCTTGTGCAAATCAGTTGCAGGGGGAACATCGGCCAAGCTAACAGTAGGCATGGACAAAGGAGCAGGACTGCCATTTGAGGCCTCTTCCAGGGGCAGGAAGTCAACCTGGAGCAGCAGGTTCTGATGGACAACACGTTCATTCCCTTCTCGATCCTTGATCCGGTATATATGCAAGGCAGGTTTTGAGGCCACCACGGTGTAAATGATGGGCATCCACTTGTCAGAAAGCTTACGTTTCCCCCTGGCTCCTTTGTTCGCCAGCAGCACCCTGTCACCAAGAGACAGGGGATGACCTCTGACCCTTTTATTGTACTGGTCACATTGATGTCGTTGCTCAGCAGTGCTGTTCTTTTGAGCCAGCACCATGGCGCAGTGAAGGTCATCCAAAAGGGATTTGACATAAGCGTCGTAGTCACACACTGTGTCATCATGCAACACATTCTTGAAAAGAAGGTCAACCGGCAGTCTGGGGACCCTCCCGAACATCAAATAGAAAGGTGCAAACCCAGTGGTCTCATGAATGGTACAGTTGTACACAAAAGTCATGGTCTGGACCATTTGTGGCCATTTCTGTTTGGAACGGAGGGGTAGAGATCTCAGCATGTTGCCCAGGGTGCGATTAAACCTTTCAGTACCTCCATTACCCATGGGGTGGTAAGGTGAAGTACGAGACTTGTTGACGCCTGACAACTCGAGTAGCTCTGCGATCAGCTCACTTTCAAAGTTGGCCCCCTGGTCAGAATGGAGGCGCTGAGGGAAGCCATAAATACAGAAAAAGCTGTCCCACAGCTTCTTCGCCACCCTTTTAGCGGTCTGATCCTGACAGGGAAAGGCATGAGCCAACTTGGTGAAGTGATCGGTGATCACAAGAACATCCACAGACTTGTTGTTATTATCCTCAGCCAACCAAAAGTCAATACACACAAGTTCCAGAGGGGCAGAGGTCTTAATACTCTCCAATGGGGCTCTTGCGGAGGGCTCAGGGGCCTTGCTGAGTATGCATCTGTGACAGCTCCTTACATGATTGCGAAGATCCTTTTCCATGTCATACCAGAAGAACCGCTGGCGGGCCAGAGAAAGTGTGCGGGGCTGACCTTGATGACCAGCATGGTCATGAACACCAGCCAATGCATCTGCTTTCAGAGTCTCAGGTACAACAAACTGGAACTTTTTGTGTTTTGTCAGAGGGTTCTTTGTGACCCTATAAAGGATGCCGTTCGTGAGTGTCAGTCTTTCCCACTGCTTAAGAATTCTCAGAGTTTCCAGGCTCTCATTGCAGCGTTCACGTCTAGAAGGCCTGCGTCTCCTGTCAACATAGAGAACAACCCGTGAGATGACTGGGTCCTGTTGTTGGTGAGACCGGAGGTCAGCAAGAGACAAAGATGGCAACACATCCTGGCCAGGAGGCTCCAATGAGGTAAGATGACCTGCTAGAGAGGACGCACGTTGCCCAGGGGCAGAATCCCACTCATCGAACGAGGAGAGGATAGAGGAGACATCCTCACTGGACATTGATACATCAAGGGCCGACGAGGTCAATGGGTGTGTCAGTGATTGTGGCTGGCAGGTGAGACGGAAGGAGTCCTGTATGAATTCGTCACTGACATCACAGGCCCGGTCCAGCAACTCAGAGTAAGGCTCGAGCAACAACTGTTCTCTCAAAGGCTTCACAAATGGTTCCCTACTGAGAGCATCTGCAACCACATTTAGCCTGCCAGGAATGTGTTTGATCTCAAAGGACTACGGCGCCAATTTGGAGACCCAACGCTGCTCACACGCATCAAGTTTGGGTTTGGTCAAGATGTATGTGAGAGGATTGTTGTCTGACCAGACAGTGAACCTGTGACCCATCAG